CATCCCTTCCGTCTCGTAGCTTATTCCTATTTTACTCATATATAATTTACATGTTATACACACATGTATGTACATGCATATTTATATTTGCTTATAATTAACACCCATTTTGTCCAAAATAAGGAGAAACTTCTTTAAAATTCCAATCTCCAGTGTGATTTAAACTAGCAAGAAAATTCATTTGTGCACTTTGGGATATTGATCACTATTGAGTGTCAGAGTCACGTTTCTGGGCCAACAGCATCCATATGATGCAGTGTGATGCTCACGAAGAAGTGATACCAGATAGAAAGTCCTGAAAATCCCAGGACACCTTTCAGGCAACGGGATTTCGTGACATCTAATACCATTTATGTGTCATGTGTTAACACCTTCAGGGCATGATCAAAAGTATTGCTTCTCCAAGGGAACTTTGAGACACACCTGTACGCACTTGTTGACATGAAACCCAAGTTCATGATACAGAATGTTTGTTAGGTTTGGTGGTCCTTGCAGATGCAGAATATTGACTAACATAATAAAATGCAGCACTGTCAGGAGAAGCTGGATAGCAGTTTGAACCAAAAATGGAAAAGAGAAGGTCTACAGAATACTCTTGGCTCACAGCGGCTCCTGGAGGCAAAGTGTCATCAAGAAAGAAATGGACAAAGCTGGGACAAGTCACAGCTGTGAACATCTACTCGAAATACCTCCCCAGCTAGTGGTAGAGGCTGCCATGGACCCAAAACTGAGTGTCACTCAGCATAGCTGGTTCTGGGTGTTGGGCTAGAAGTCAATGACAGAAACCAGATTCACCCAGTGCTTGCCCTCAGCAGATTCCCTCTCTGTGGGAGTCAGCTGCTGCAGTAGATCAGCACTAGAGGGGAAGTTCAATAAAACCAGGTGAGAGTAGATTAGAGGATGAGTAATTCTTTACTTGGAAGAAGTCTTGAAAGGATGGAGGTGATGTTTTATTTGGTCTTAGAGGATAATCTTCTAAGTAGCAGAAGGGGAGGAGAAGGACGGACAGAGGAAGAGCATGAACAAAATCTCAGAGGCTGGCCCGTGGGACAGAGGATGGGCCAGGAAAGCGTGCAGGTGGACACCCCTGGAGGTTCTGCCAAGACATGTCTATTATCAGGTAAAAATAAGAGGGCATTAAATCATGTTATGCAGAATCCCATTACTATTGTTCTTGTGCCTAAAATATCATGGTGATATCATAAATGAAACTTCCTGCCGTTCCATGCATTTGGCATCTACAACGTAAGCAAGAGGTGGAAAAGAGCAATAATGCCCACTCTTAAATTGACCACAACTCACTAAACTGTGAAACAAAGATGATCGGGAGAGAGAAAGTCTATCATATGAAAATATCAGAAGAGAATCATCTTTGAATTCTGGTAGGTTAAATGTCCTCACCCATGTGGACACATATATATCCACATGAACTAAAAAATTCACAAGCGATATTCAAGCAGAAAAGAGAAGTTCTGAGTTCTAGGGCATCTCACTTGTCTTGCTTTGTTCTTCCTTTTTTTCTCAGCAGTTTCTCTGCACTGTCAAGTTCACACTGAGGGGTCTGGAAGGCTCAGGTCAGCTCTGGCCAGCAGCCAGTATTCTTTACCTCAAATCCACTTTTGAGTACCACCAATCCCAGGATATCATCCCAGGAACCTTGGCCATATCCCAAATTGAAAAACACAAGATGCTTGTTTCTACAAAAGGTGGAAAAGTAAATACAGCAATTTTGTCTACTTGCATTTCCCTGGACCCCAATCTTCTGGTTGCTGTCCCTGTCCCCACTGTGCCCAGTGACTGGCACAGAGCCTGCTAGAAGGTGGTGGAGCCCCTGACAGGTGAGATGCGCTTCTTGGCACGTGCCGTGTAGACTGTTTGGTGGGGCGGGGGTAGGGTTCTGCCTGAAAAGGGCTAGAGAGACCAGCAATTTCTTATAATTTGGCAATAGGCACTGAACGCGGAGTCAGAAATTAATAAATTTGCAAAGCCATTTTGGATCAGAATATGATGCCCAGAAATGTTAAATACTTCTACACTCCAGGGCTCATAGTCTAATGGTTCCAGCAACAATTTCTTTCTTTCTTTCTTCTTCTTTTTTTTTTTTAAAGATGTTATTTATTTATTTGAGAGAGAGAGAGCTTGCACATGCACGCAAGTGGGGGGAGGGAGAGGGACAAGCAGATTCCTCACCGAGCATGGAGCCCCATGCTGGGCTCGATCTTGTGACCCTGAGATCATGACCTGAGCTGAAATCAAGAGCCAGACGCTTAACTGACTGAGCCACCCAGGCGCCCTAATAGCAACCATTTCTTGAAATAAGAGCATGAATGAAGCATATCTTTGTGTCAGGTATTTTCTTGCTTTATTCCAATTAAGAATCTAAAGGATAAAGCCTCTGAGATTTTTACTGTAACTAAATCTGTCCTTTGCAGTATCATAGCATTTTCCTCAGTTATAGAGTAACAACGCCAAATGCGGGAGTCAACATACATTTCTGGGATACAGCAAGCTCCAGAGGCAATCATTAAACCAATTACGATTTTTATCACTTTGACTTCCTGGTAAAATCTCTGGCTCCTCTGTCCTAGGAAGTATGTGTTGTGGATTAGACAACCTTCTTGTATACCTTTCTCTGGGCATCTTAAAGAGAAGAAAACGAATACATTCCTATAAGCAAACATTGACTTAATCAGTTCATGCTTTCTAAAATATTATTTTCTAAATGGTATTTGAAAAGATTACAAATGTAATGCCTATTAGAAAATTTGTAAATATGCCAAGTACAAAGAATCACTATCCTCTGTCTTTGATGTTACTGTACTTTCTCTAGAAACACATACGTATATATACAGATACAAATAGATAAAGATATACATATTTTATATTTGCATGTGACACACATTTTGCGAAATCAGCCAGGTTTTATCTATGTCATATCTATAACTCTCTATATGCACCCTTGTTTTTCTATTATTTTTCTTCACTTTGTATTATATATTCTCTCTAATCACTATACATTCTTTGAAAACCTGACTTTATGAGCAACAGAGATTCCAGAGAATGGATATCTGACCATCTTTAAAGCTGTAAACCTAGAACTTTCCGGAAGCTTCTAGGTGAGTTAAGTCAGTCTGCAGGCTCTGAAGGCAAAGATGGGGATGCTTTGTCTTAGGCCTGGGGACATTTCCATTTCTGACCTTGTTGCAACCCATTAACAGTGATGAATTAGGGCCTTGGTTCCTCCTCTCACTTGAGACAGCTGGCCTTTAATTACTTTAGACTATTCGGAATGGCCGCCTGCATTCCGGGAAGTGCAAACCACATTCCTCAGGGTGAAGCTGGAGCTCTCCGTGGAGACCCCAGGCTGGCGCAAATGCCCATCCTTCCCAGCAGGTGGCGCTATCTAGATTCAGTTCCCTCTAGGGGACCAGTCGCCAGGCTGGGAGGGCTGCCAAGCGGATGGGCCCACCTTATCCTATCCTGCTCCTTCATGTCTCATGCTCTCCTCCCCATCTCCAGACCTTTCAGCTGTGCCTCCCTTCCACCGGTTTTAAGTGCAAGATGGTTTTTACTCTTGACTTTTTAAATATACTGACCTTGACAGACATACGAAATGACTTGCAAACAAGCATAACTACTATCTGTTTACATTAAAATCTTTCATAAAATATGTTTGTACTATATTAGAGCACAGTTAAAAGTCTTTTACAAAACTATCACTTGACTGAAACCATAACTTCGAAGTTTCTTTATAAACAACAATGTTCTACTGTATTTTAATATGGTTGTTTCAGCAAAACTTTCTTCAAGAAATCCTTTTTGTTTCCTTAAGGAATATCCTCAGAAAAACATGGGACAAATGACCCTCATAAATCTTCACTTAGACTTTTGGCAAAAATGATAAAACTGTATTAATCTCTTCATCTTACTCAACTTAGAAAATAGCTCATCGATGTCATAAAATATGGTTCAAAAATACAACATTCTAAGGTGGGAAGTTGTTCATCATAAGGTTCTATGGAAGCAGCTAAACAGCTTGAAAGGAGGGCTGCCTTTTGGGGGGAAGTCCATGAATATTCTCTTCTGACTCCTGGCTTCTCCGGACCCAATCAATACCTAATCTCACCTGTCACTTGAAGGGCTTCAAGCCACGTGAGCACACCTTGCCAGAGTTGGAAAAAGGGTTGAGGGTTTGGGGCTGACTCCTACTGATGGGACACCAGTGACAGGTGTGGAGGTCATCAGAAGGATGCTCTTCAGAGTTCAAGCAACAGACTAGAGAGAAAACCTTGAAGTCAGAGTGAATTCAAGCTCAGTTCAAAGGTTTGCTTTTGTTTTTTTAAACCAAGGCTAATGTGTTAATACAATTTCCCAAATCTGCATTCCAAAGTTGCCTGGGGCCCATCCCGGAGGTTCTGAGTCTGTAGGTGGTGGGTGAGACCCCGGGGGCTTATGATCACTGGATAGATTGGGAAGCACCACATTCCTGCCCACATGCTGTTTTCAAACTTTATTACGCTCATTCACTTTCCGGGATGAAGCAGTGAAGGGACAGGGCCCTCTGGGATACGGTAATGCAGCAGGAAACCATGAGAAGGACCCATTCATTATACCTTTGTTAGGCCATTTATCACTTATTTGATATTAAAAAAGTCCAGAAGCCATCATGGTCTGGGCAGTACTGGGAAGGAAAACTGAGGTATCTGACATTATTTGGTATCATGCCTGATACATAGTAGGCATTCAAGACATACCTGCTAGTTAACCATTGCATTCACCTGATGGGAGGTTTTTAGGTGGCTGCATTAAGACCTATGGCTCAATGCTCTTAAAAGGCTTGGGGAGACAGTGGACACAGAGCACTGATCCATGACAGGAGAGAAAGCAGGGTTGGGAACTTCTCAGGGTGGATGATTACCATCAAAAAGGCAAGCAGCATGTATTTTTTAAATTATAGGTGTGTTTATGCTGGAACATACAGATCTAGAAGTTGTAGATATTCCTGGAGCAGCCCTCAGGGGCCACAAACAGCAAGAGAACTGGAGCCTAAAAAATGCAAACACTGGCGCATTCACGTTAAATTTGGGAAATACATTTAAGAATGCATTCCCATGAATCCTTACTCCAAACAAAATAGCTTCTAATCCTTCCTCAAAGCAAAATGATTCTGAAAATACTTTGAAAAATGATGTGCTGTGATCTGACCAGATACTTCTGCATATTGATTTTGAGTTAAAACCTGCTAGGAGAGAGTGTTGTGAGTTCTGTCCTGCTTTCCTAGTTGTTCACTTCTGAGGACAGCCAGATCTTGGGTCTGTATGACCCTTAGCCGCTCGGATATGACCATGGTGTCCAGGGGGAGTCTGGACACATGATCACACTGTCCAGACCACAGTAAGATGGGACAACCTCGGTAGCAGGAGTTTCGGTGGCCGGCAGGTACCACACACTACTCTCTTCCCTGGGGGGCCCAATGGGTGAAGGATTCTGCCTCCCAGGGGCTCCCGGGCAGAGGGCTGGAGGCTGTCTTGATTCCACTAAGGCCAAGAGTGGCTGCCTATTGGCCTTTACTTCACTGCAGGCAGCCTACTTACAGCGGCTCGAGGTAAAGTCCATCCGTTTTGAAGAGACCTCTCCAGCTGGACAGCTTTCTGAATTTATCAGAATTGTCCCCCAAGGCCAAGCTCCTAATGTCATTCTATTGGGGAACTGTGAGTCTGAGCGCCCCTCCACCATTTCTAACAATAAATGCAAGATTACACATCGAAATGTTTCAAAACAGGCAGTGAACTATGTGTTGGGTTTTTGTGCGTGTCTGCTCAGCTTCCCTTCTGATGCCACACCCACTGTGTGCATCTGTACCACCTGCAAGGCACCCCACCTGTCCCCGGTGAGGACCTCCATCAACGTGCACATTGACACACAGAAGCATCAGCACCCGGGGCGGACTCTACAAGCTGGGACCTTAGAGCCTGCCCAGGACCCACGAGACTCTCTTTTTCAAAGTTCCTATCTGCGCTGGGCTGCAGGACATGGGGGAAGTCATGTGATGCTCCCCCGTCTGAGCCGTGAAAGCCCCACGGAAAAACTGGGCAGATGCGTGAGTGATTTTACCAGGCACGGAATGTACAGAGCCCCGTACCTATCTGTGCAGAAGAAATACTAATGCTGCCATTAGGGAAGGGGATCACTGCATGCAGCTGTGAGTCGCCGGCATTACCTGATCTTGGGATTTCTTTTTCTTTTTCTTCTTGCCCCAGCACCCGGAACTCTCTGCGTCTTTGCCGTTGGCCTCCCCACAGAGCAGCCCGTCCAGCTCGTCAGTGCCCATGTGCTGTCCCTGAGAAGTTTCTGCTGCCAGCCGGTACGACAGGTTCCTTAAAATGCACACACAGTTTTCAACGGTCTGGAGAGAACCCAAAAAAAAAAAAAAAAAAAAAGGAAAGGAAACCAAGGAGGAATGAATAAAAACTAACCAGCACTCCTTCTCCACCCGAGAAAGCAGTCATTTCCACATCCCCGATTCTTTCCGGACACATTTAGCTGCTGGCTCCTTAAAGGCTCCCTTGACAGCCACAGTGGAAAGAATTGAGAGAAGCCCGAGAAGGTCTTAAAACCTCTTCTTATCCACGCTAGTTACTTTTATAAACAACTGTCATTGTTGACTGAAGTTCACTGGGGAGAGGGAAAGAATCCACAACCTGGGAGAGGTCCCAGATATGGCCCACGCACGCACCGCTCCCACCTGGGGAATGGGGCTCAGAATCATCGAGAGCGTGGATACTCACATTCCCATCAGCTCCAGGAGGGAGACCCCAGTATTTCCCACCTACCAGGGCATTTTCTGGGAGTAAAATGAGGTAAGAGATATAAAGCTGGGGGGTCCCAGGCAAACCGAGTGCTGGGATCACCTGGGGGCATAGATGTTTCCATGCTACTGATTTGTTTGGAGATAGCTGGTGTTCCTGTTTTCTTAGCGTCGGGGTTAACCAGTGCTTGAGGACACACATTGTGTGGCTAGACACCTGAAAGGCCCTTGATCTCTGTCTACTGGCTGTGTGATTTGGACAATATACCCAACCTCTCTCTGACTCAGTAACTTCCTCTGTAAGATGGTCATAGTAGATACATACATACTACTATGTATCCTGTGTGTATCTGGATAGTCAAGTATGGATGAGCAGGTGGTCCCCTGCCCCCAGGATGTCCACATTAATCTCTGTAAGCTGTGAAAAGGTTGGGTTATCTGGCCAGGGGGAATGGAGGTTGCAGATAGACCTCATCAGCTGACCTTTAGCTGGGGAGATTGTCCTGGATGATCCCGGTGGGCCCATGTAACCAGGAGGGTCCTATAAGTGAGAGGGGGTGGCAGAAGTGGTGAAGTGAAGTGGTGTGAGAAGGTGTGACCTCTCATTGCTGGATCTGAAGATGGAAGAAAGGGCCACAAGCCAAGGAACTGTGGGCACCTCTAGAAGCTGGGAAAGACAAGAAAACTGGTTCTCCCCTGAGCTTCCAGAAGGAACACAGCCCTGGCGACATACTGATTTTAGCCCAACAAGACCCATTGGGGCCTCCTGACCTGTAAAACAGTAAGGTAATCAATGCCTGTTGCTTTAAGCCACCATGTTTGTGGTAATTTGCTGGAGCAGCAATGGGAAACCAATCCAGTACGTGCGTGCCGAGAAGAGTGCCTGGCCCCGAGTAAACACTATCCGAGCGTTCAGACTGGGAACAGTAGTGCAGCACCATCAGCAAGTCCAGAGCACGGACCTAGAACCAGCGAGCCTAGGTCTGAGTCCTGGCTCCGCCATTTCAGGGGCTGTGTGACCTTGGGCCAAGTGCTTAATCTCTCTGTGCTTCCATTTCCTCCCAAAGACCCTTCCTCTGAAATGTCACCATATTGGAGCCTAGGTTTCACCCAAGAACTTTGGATCAACCTTTTAACCTTTGCCCTGCATTTGATGAACGGTGGGAAGAGAAAAAATACACCCAATTTTTTTTTTTTTTTTTAGTAAAACAAAATCATGATGGGGGAGAAAAATTGAATGGAGTTAGGTTTTATTTTTAAAAGCGTGCCAACTTGGCTACGGCTTCTCAGGCACCTGCGTGTGCACCAGCGTTTGAGACAGGGACCATGGTTCCATTTCACAGATGAAGGGGATCTACCTCCCCAGCAGATAGGGCCACTTCTCTCCAGTCTTGGGTCGGGTGGGGGCCGCACTGCTCCCCCCTCCCAGGACAGGAATCTGGGCAAAGGCTGTGGGTGTGTCTTTGACTCAACTACGGGGGGCATGACAATCAACCAGGAAAACCCGTTTTCAGGATCTGTCTCTGGAGCCTTTGCCATTCCAGACCTTTCTTGTCAGCTTTTCAAGGTTTCATGGCTGCTAATCCCACAGGCTTTGAGTCAACTTGATTATCTATTTCAAGCATCCTCTCAGCATCAAAAAAGGAACCTGCATGAAAGCAGGTAAACACAGGACGATGCATGAAAGAGAGAAAAGTCTCTCCCTGAAAGGAAAATGTTATGGCATAAGTCAGAACGATTTTTAAATCAGCTCAAACTGATTTTTCTTACATCAAAGACTTGGGATATTCAACTTCTTTCTCATCCTGCTGTTCATCTTCCCCAGGGGCATCTCCGTGCCTCTGTTTAACAAATGACTACCGGGGAACACATCCCCGGTAGTTTCCAGAAATGCTTTCTAATCTACCTGTGGCTGGGGGATGATGTGGGACAATTCTGGAGGGGAGAGAAAGCAGGGTTGGCAGAAGGAGAGGGTACAGAGGAGAGGGTGGGACGGGGCAAGGGAGTCACCGGGACTGACCTGGTCTCTCTAGCCAGGCTTGGTGTGGATGGGTCACTCATTCAAGCTCTTCTCTCTAAGGGAGTGGGGAAAGAGGATAGAAAAAAAAAAGGCAGCTACTGCCCTTCTCTGGGTTACCAGCAGAAGGCATGTGGCAGCTGGTGCTTTTAGCCACTCCTCTTGGCCACAAGGGTCATTTTGACTCCTTATTTTCTATTAGAAAGGGCTAATGTGGAAGTTGTCTGTGGATCGCGCTACCATAGGGTACCCATTCAACAAACTGTCCCAATTGCAGGCGCCAAGCTGAGAGCTTGTACGGATTCCAGGCCCTTTTATGCATTAACTCCTTCCCTCTCTACCTTGTCCCTGTGAAAGCTCAGAGGGGACCAGGCAGAGGGCCAAGTGGGACGCTGGGGGACCACAACACAGTAAAGCTCCGTGGCACGTTCTGGACGGCCAGGCACTGCTAAGTCCCTTGTGGCATCTGATCTGTTCAGAAGCTATGACGAGCCTCCTCGTCGTGAAGTCGGGGGTACTCAGGGACAGTCCTCTAGTGAGCGGGAGCTGGAGGGGGAGCATCTACACTGGCTTGGTGCTCTTGAGGCTTCAGCAGAAATAGCCGTGTCTTCTCATTGCCGCCCTCAACACTCCTCATGGTTCCAGGTTCCTCTTTTGAATACAACGTGGACATTAAAAGAGGGGATCTCCCAGGAGCTCCAGGGATCTAGCCATCTGCCATGTCAGCAAAGAGGTGTGGGGGCTCATAGCACTTTGCTTTGGGACCATCCTGCTAAAGGCTACCTTCCCACCAGTGTTGGCATGGGCATGTGGCCAAGGCAAGAGGCTGTGGACTCTGCTTTAATTTCAACTGCAAGGCACAGACAGTCTTAAAGCTCTTTTTTGTATCCATTATGGTAGGAGGCTTCGTGTCCTGATGCTGTAGTCTTTACTGCTCTGAATGTGGAGATCCTGGGCACGGCAGACTTTGTGAATTACCTCTGGCGGCTCGTTTAAAAATCGCTGGTCTATTATATTAACAGGCATCGATAAATACTCAAGACATCTTGACTGGTCATTTTTTTTAGGGACTTCATTTTCCTATCAATGATATTAAAAGTTCTAAAATGGTTATTAAGGGTCTTTACGAGAGGGGTTGATTAAATCTTTAGCATCTCATATTCCGTCTTTGAAATTGATAACACTTACAGAGTAACTAATGGATGCCCGCATAACTCAGTGATGGTGATCAGATGACAAACCGTGTTCATAACTGCAGCAGACTAGTACTCAAAATGTTGGAGTTCCAGAAGGTATGCGCACCCAGGACTGTGGGGAGTAGGGCTCGGCTATCAGCAATTGTCTCAATTTCTCAGCCCACTCCACGGTGCAGGCAAGGTGGAGAATTGCTAAGTCACTCCCCATGCCTGTTGGTAACTAAGGGGATAAAACCATCCCTACCAGTTCTTCACCTGACTTTATAACTAAATAACATGTGATCGTATTCCTGATCAGAGTCCATTTCAAAGCTGTAGCTAATCTACTGAAGATTAGCTCAGTTGAGGATGCACATCAAATCACCAGATGAACTTTTAAAGGAACACAAGTCTGAGACCAGAGGTGGACATTCCGAGTCAGAGGGCTGGGATGGGGTCTAGGCACATGGCTGTGGTTCACACCAGGACCAGTTCTGCTCCCCTGGGGGACACTGGGCAATGTATGGAGACACTTCTGTTTGTCACCACCAGGAAGGGAGAGGCTATTGGCATCCAGTGGGGAAAGCCCGGGGATGCAGCTCAACATCCTACGATGTACAGGACGGCCCCACAACACAGAATAACTGGGCCCAAAACGTCAATAGTGTGGCTATGGAGAAATTCTCATTAAGGTCTTGCATTTATCACATGGTGACTTCAAAAGCATCCGTAAAGTCTGTGTTAAATCAAGATATTTTTACTTGACAATTTTACACTTAGATTGAATCAAAACCAATCAAAAGGCAAATTAAGGCAAAACAAAATGCCTCCCACACTGGAAAAGCCCACCTAATTCTATTCTGGCTTATGAACTGAAACACTGACTAGATTCTGAGGATGAACATGTGGACAGTCCCATTTACTTAGATTTTGGCCAAGGTTCTTCAGTCTTCATAAGGCATTTTTAAAATGGCATTGGATACAATTAACATTTGTAAAAAGCTAACTTGTAAGAATACAGAATCATTCAAAGCTCAGATAGTTTTAATATTCCTCTTTCTTTTGAAAGCAGACTTTATAAACTAAAACTGGAAGCTTGTGGGTAATGTGGTGTGTAAACGTTTATATACTCATCTGGTTTGAGTAACTCAAAACAATCTACATGTTTATTCGTTATTAATCGAGGATTGGGTGTCTAGTTCTAGGCTAGGATTAGAAGCCATCTAGAAAACGTTGGATTCCTACGGGGAGACCAAGAGAGATTGCAGAGTGAAGGTATTACGCACAGCATTAGCTCTCTGCTGTTGTTGGCCATTGCTTAGTCCCTTGGGCATCTTTATTCACTAAGATGTTTAATCTATGCAAACACAACAAACCTTGCTGTCGATCTCGCTGCTCCCCAGCGCAGACTGGATCACGTAGAGCAGTGCATCTGTGAGCCCATCACATTCTCGCATCCTCCTGCGAGCCTCCTCTCCAGCTGAACTAACATTCCTGCAAAGCAAAAGGGTGCATCAGCTACCTCCACGGGGGTCCCCAAAAGAACCTTCTTCTGTGCCCACCTCCAGAATATTTACCAAGAACACAGTTTGAATGAGTAGGGATGGCTTGCACAAATGCATGCCACAACCGGCTGAGTTACAGGGATCTGCCATAGAACTTGCAAAATGGAGATACAGATTTCTGAATGTGTCATCTATGAAGGCCCCGTGACCACTGAGAATGGAGACTCTTGAAAAGTCTTCAAGGTTTACTTCATTGACAGTGGAAGAGGGAAACCAGAAGCTCTTTGAATCAGAGGCTTTTTCTTTGAGAAATGTGAAAAGAATGTTTTTTAGAGACAGAGCTTCCATCTTACTGAAGTATTCTAGTGATCTAATTTCACCCGCCTCCAAAATATACCTACCTTGATCCTGCCAGCAGTAAACTTCTAGAAATTTATTCTAAGAACATAGGGAGGGGTTTCTGTGAAAATTTAGTCATTGGGATGCCCACGGCACCTTTGATGGGCAGGAGTGGCCCAATCTCCTTCCCGTACCGGCGCACGCTGAGCTTAAGCCAGCAGAAGGGGGGACAATCAGGGAAGATGCGGCGGGGAAGCAGAGAGATATTCCACCCCTACAAAACACATGAGACAAGCCTTGTCAAGGGCTGGGGTGCTTTTAGTGACCTGCCACCTGACAGCACGTTTTCCCTCTCCTACCCAGGGTTAGGATTTGGTTCAGGTAGAGAACTTCTGCAGCAAATCAGGAAACACAGCCTGTTGGAGGGATGCTGGAGGTGAGTTAAGAGAAGGTGTAAAGGGGCTGAAGGAATTTAGAGATGGTGGGGAAGAGTGATCTCTTGAGAAAGATCCTGGTTGGACAATGGCTCTCGAGCTTGGCTAGTAGCAGAATCACCTGGAGGAGATTGCCTGGCCCCTGTGAGTTGGATAACTTCCTATTTTGTGATGTTGAGGTTGAGAACTACCACTCCGACTCTGGCTCTAGGGAGAGGGTTCGGTCGGGGAGGGCGGGGCTCTTTGCTGACTGTTGGGTGCTGCCATGTGTCTGAACTCAAGAATCTGCAGCCCTGGGCAGAGCCTGCGGGAGACACTGAACAGAATGAGTCTCAGGGCCACACTGTAAGGACACAAGTGTTTCCCATTTCATTTTCAAAATGTCCTTCAAGGTTACATTTCATTCTATTTTACAGATAAGAACACTGAGGCACAGAGGGCACGGAGGCAGTAAGTGGAGCGGCTAGAACAGAACCGGGTCTGAAGGACAGGAAGGCGAGGCCTCCAGGCTTGACAGGCCACATGGATGCACCACTTTTTTAAGGAATTAAAGGAAAATAGGCCTAACGCTAGAATGCTACTGAACAGAAATGTTCGCTTTGATTATCTAGAAGGTTCTGTAGGGTGTGTTTAAATAAGATCTTTCCGCATTTGAATGGAAGATTGGGAAAGGTTATTCAATTCAAATTCGTATTTTTGGCATTTGCAGATCTTAAAATATAAACAAAATTTCTCAGTTCCTTAGATAGTACAACTGGGCAAATATTGATGGTATTTTTATGTGAAGTGTTAGGACTCCCCCTGGGGTGGCTAACCCTCATTTCTGACAGGATCTGGGGAGGGAGGAAGAACCAACTTTCTGCAGGAAGAAGCTGTGAGAGTTTTATTCTAAACCTCTATTATTCTAAACTGGAAGGATGGCCTTTGTGAGAGAGCATTTTTAGACCATCCCTCCTTGAAATGATTTTCACCAGGTCGAGCTTTGCGGCTGTTAGAGTAACAGGCTTGTCAAAAATTCCCATCAGACCTCTTTGGCCAGAAGAATGCTGGATGGCAGTGTGGACCCATGTGTTTAAATCGTGCCTCTGTGCTTTGAAGAGGTCGTGTTTCCAAAGAGAGAATGATGGAATTTAGTCTTGAAAGTGCCTTAGGGGTAAGCTCCTTACACTCTAGTGTAAAATCCTCCACCCTCCTCCCTGGCTGTTGAGCACTCAGTCTTTCTCTTGAGTAGCTTTACGGTGATGAGGACGGATTGCAGCCTGATTCACAAATCCACTTCGAAGTGATCAGCCTATGCTCATTGGTAATCAATGAATGGGCAGGGCAACCATGAGAAAGATCAGGAATTCTCAACTTCGTCAACATTACAAGTTGTGAATATTAGCCTAAGCAGTTTTCTTTATTCTGTCTTTTTGATTCTAGTCTCCTCCAAAATTAAAAGGTTATTAACTGGCTGCTATATTAAGATGTGCAAGATATCAAGGGGGCCCGACTGGCACAGTCAGTGGAGCAGGCGACTCAATCTCTGTGTTGTGAGTTCGTTTGAGCCCCACGTTGGGTGTAGAGATTACTTAATAAAATCTTTAAAAAACATGTAAGATACTGAGAAATGAGAAAGACTAATAAGTTTGGGTCCCAGTAGAGAAGGAGAAATGAGTGACACACACGCACATACACACACAAACATACACAAGTAAACACACACATACACATACCCCTATGATACAGAGGGGAGGACGGAGTTACCACAGTGTCTGCAGGTATGAAGATGCTCAATACGTATTTTTAAACAGAGTGAAGTGTGCACATGTCTCTTAATCAATGGTGCCCTACAAACCCTTTGGGGTTGGGTTCACTTTTAAGCAACTACTCCTGAATTAGGAAACGTATCAGAAGAGTACCCCTGGTTTTTTACACTGTAGGAGAGAAGAGTTTCCTCTTTCTCCTTTCCCCCCACAAAATAAGATCTACTATATTATGCATGCTTCACTGGTTAAAAATAAAAAAACCAGTAACTTTGTGTGTTGGTCACTGTAACAATTAATTATAACTACGGTCCTAAGGAAGTGACAATGAGCCAGTGTTCGACCTACAAAGATCCTCCCTCCTGTTGCATTTGACAGAGGTGCCCTTCTTGACAGAGGTGATTTTCTTGTCGGATGAGAAACTGGTGCTGCAAAATTCTACATGTAAACACAACGTTACAACAAATACTTGACAGATTATTTATAAAAAGCACAAAGATGGTACAATAGGTTTTCCTTAGAAATAATCTTCATAATCTTGATTGAATTGTCAGTTTACATGTTATTTGGAAATTTCTGCCTACAGTAGTTTCTACGATCTTTTTATCTGATAAAAAATGAGAATTTATTTTTATTTCTTACAATTAAAAGATACAGAATCTCTTATGATCTCTTTTGTTCTAATGTAACTTGTTAAACTGCTTTGTTTTCCCTATCTTCAGTGTTGTTTGACATCCCGTTTCTCTGAGCCTCCATCACTCACTGAGCTTATTAAGAACAAATTCAATATATGCAGCTCTCGTAGGATCCCAAGTGGTCCTTGTACCCTACATTCAAAGGAATGAATGCAGCATGTCACACGGAAGACCTCATTTTATGTGTCCCTACTTCGGATGGCCAGGATATGGACAGTGAAACCGCAGAGAAAACCCATGGATGAGGATTTTAGCAATTACTCAACTTGAAATTAGCCTCTCTCTTCTCCGCACTGCCTGTGCTCTCTGAATCTCTCTTACTGGTCACCACTGACTTTGGATTAGAATTATTTAGGCTGTGACCTTCTTGCTGCTTGGGAACCTTCTGGAGGGCAGAGGGCATGTCATTGTTGTTGGTATACCCAGCATGCAGCTGAGTGCCCTACACCACCTAGGTGCTCAGTGCAAGTTGGTTATTACACGTGCATTCAGCTGGACTGGAATTTGGGTGACTGATTTGCCTCTGCCCTCCATACTCACTGGATGATATCAGATGTCTGTTACATCAAGAATGCAGGCTTGCCCCCATCCTGGACTATTCAGGTCAGCCTCAATTTGGGAAGAAAGAAAAAAAAAACCAACTGAACATAGTGTGTGGTATCTAAAGCTTGTATCATATCTCAAACTAAGCAAGTCTGAGCTATCAGCTTTCTTCTTTTGATGATATTGATCACACAGAGTGTGGGAGAGAATGACATGATTTTGTCGTTTGGAGCCAATCAGGTATTACCGAGCTATAGTGATCTTCACCCCAGGCTTGCAGGAAGAGATTTCTGTCTCAGGTTCTCGTCCTCTGCTCTCTGTTACCTCCTCTCCTCTCCGCCCCCACTGCTCCTTGGCCTTTATGATCTGCCCTCCCCTGCGGTCATCTCGCACCAGGTCCATCCCCATCACCTTGAGCCCTGGGTCCTTCCTGCACATCTCTGGGCTGGGGCTCCCTGGGCTTCTTTGGCTCATCTTAGCAGCAGAACCTAGATGTTGGGTCTCTGGGACCCTGGGCTGAGCTTCTGAGACTACACACTAGTGTGAGGAGTGGGGTGGGGTTGCCAGGATCTTCAGAGAGCAGAGCTTAGACCGTTTCAAGAAATACAGGTGGTCCCAAGGCAAAGCTGAAATACAAAGCCACACACTCAGTAAGGCCTTGGGGCCAACAGAGCAGGGCAGGCAGGGGGAGAGGTAGAGTCCACCACAGATGACAGCACAGAGTGGACCAGGAGGTCCAGACGTGGGTCTGGGGATACCAGGGACTCCCAGGGGCTCGAGCCTCTGTACCCTCAACCACAGATAAAGAGAGTCTGTCTGGGGATCGGAGGCTGTGCTGACCACCCCCTGCCCCCCCGCCCCGCCGCCACCTGCAATGCTTTTCCTTCTGCGTCTAGGCCACTGCCTTTGAGCAGTCACGCTGCCTAGGCTTGGTCAGACCTCTGCCTTGGCCCCTTCAGCCCCTCTTTGTTGTTCCAGGCGCAAGATTTTAGGGCACCTGTAACACCTGATGTTTGAGGCTGGTCCCTCCGTGATGTGAGGAGGGGTGGGCAGCATCATCTTACTTTGCTGTCTGAGAACCACTCTCTTAGCAGGGAATCCAACAGCAGGAAATTGAAATATTTATTAAATGACCATGTAATTGTCCACTGTGAGCTACATAATACATAAACTCTTAAAGATACTCGGTTTCCTCTTCCTAATGGGTTGAGGGGGGCATCATGGCCTTACATC